TACAGCTCGACCCTTGGATCATCCAATCATCACAAGAAGGAAATATAGCTAACATGATTTAGGTATGACCTCCAAAAATTATGTATGTATGCACATAAAAGTATACGCATGGTGTATGTATCTATATATAGAATGAAATGTATAATTAAAAACAAAATTAATAGTACCAAGTGACATACAATTCAAAGCAAGTGGAAAAAAGTATCATTAAAAAACTTATAACAAAGAGAAAAAATATAAAGTTTAAAGTAATACTTGTTTTGTTTTTTTTACAATTAAAAGGAATACAACATTAAATCATTACACAATAAATAATTATCAAAAACTCTACATATGTTTTGGGGTCTATGACGCCATCTTCAGGTGTAACGGTAAAGGCACGGTTGGGACTTATATACCCACATAATAACACCATCTAGGCTTAAACTACCGAGAGTTACAAAACGTCTGTCCAGGACTTGATTATTTCTAGACCTGGACCATTTAATATTGGTTTATTTAATACATATAAAAAACAATGCTAGACACTGACCTTATCAAGTAAATCATATAACTTGTGCAGCAATACTCTCCAGAATTTGGACGTTGCTGTCGATCCACTTTCTTGAAGACAACGTGATACTTTCTGGATGTACTTTAAGGTAATTTCAATAAAGTTCCGGTAGTGAGGTTCCATTTTCTTGGAAGATTTAGAGCTCAGTCCAGCAATCTTTCAAAGTAAAGATTAAAATGACAATTCCATTGTTCAATGTATTCATAATTAAATCATAAACCTTTATCTTTGCGAACAATAGATACTTCCCAAATTGGTGTCTGCAATGGGCCTGCTATTTAACTGTTTTATGGAAGGTGTAGCTTGGTGTCTGCAATAGGCCTGTTATTTAACTGTTTTATGGAAGGTGTAGCTTGGTGTCTGCAATAGGCCTGCTATTTAACTGTTTTACGGAAGGTGTAGCTTGGTGTCTGCAATAGGCCTGCTATTTAACTGTTTTATGGAAGGTATAGCTCATTTTGTACATGTGTATGAATTAAAATTTACCAGACTGAAATTTTACGTTGAAAGTTCTCATGCGCAGCCTGAATAGTATTTTAAAATTTTCTCCACATTTGTTACCTTTACTTAAATTCCTACACCTGCTCCCAGAATTAGAAAAAACCTCAATGCTTTGTCTATTCTTGAAACTTTAATCTTTCAATTGCTACATAATTTTATTTTGTTCTTAATTGTATTTTCCCCAAAAAGGGACGTGTTCACAAAGGAAAAAAATGTAATAACTCATGTTTTTCTTTCTCTATGTAATTTACAGTTATTTTTTGGAAATACTATTCTTTTATTATATAAATTGATAGTACATTCTTTCAGGCACAATATAGAACTGGTGAACTCTTAACATATAACAAAGTATTAACTACTTCACCAGACACGATCGAGTTCACGGACAATTCTTACCTTAAAATTAGTGATAACGGAAGTTTAGGCATAAACAATAACACAGAAAGAAATTATAAAACACAGATCTGTACCTGACCAACAAAAGTTTGTGAAGACAGAAGAGAGATCATGAACGATACAGTGGTGTACTTGAAGTGGCGAAGTTGCTTAGCGGAATGTGTCTTGACATCGAACAGCGGATAGATATCTGGTCGACTTTCGCTAGCTTGACAAGTTTTTGAATTCACAGTTGTGGAATCATCTAACAAAAACAAACGTGATAACTTGGTGAAATATACTGAAACTAAGAAACATTAAACACGTGTGCGTGTGTGATACTAAGTTTTCCCAGGCAGATAAAAAGAAATATTGAAATTTTATTAATGATAAACATTCACCTTCTTGATGCGGCAAGGATAATAAAAACTCCAACAGTTTAATGAAAGAAACCAACTGGATCATGGGCTGAAAACACTGGCTTAGTGAGACAGCAAAGTCCACCAGAGGAGGTAGTGTTCCTTGAACCTGTAAAGAACGTATTAAGTACAACACAGTTAAAAAAATACGAGAAGCAGGGTTTTTAAAATCTCTATGACGAAGGTACTTCTAATCTTACTAAAAAAAATACATTTAAAGTGCTAGTTTTTTTAGTTCTATAAAACTTTACCTTTTCCTCGGCAGGTCCCTGAACAGGTTGCTTGGTTATGTGTCGGTCAAACACTTGACCAAGAGGAATCCACAAGTACTGCTTTGGACCAAGGGTGTGAATTAGCTTGGAAAAAACAGGTAATCGTCGATGTTGTGGAATATCCAGAACAGCATCTACAAATACCCTTGTTACCATGGCAACGGTTTTTTTGGTTTCATCTGTAGTTCCAGTTTGGTTGCTTGTCTGTATAATTTAAAAAAAAAAAATTATTGTTACAGGGGAAAATCCAATCTCTAATTAGGACTATTTTTCAGATGTATTTCATGAGGCATTCATTTAATATTTAAAGAAATATTTTTTAGATTTATAACTTTCTGAAATTCTGCTTGAAAATGTGTAGAAAATATATATATACTATAAACAAAATATATATACTATAAACAAAATATATATATTATAAAAACTAGCAAAAGAAAGATTTTTTTAAACTCCCTAGGAATGGTGCCGACAAAAGAAAAAATGTTTTTAGACGATACAGTACAATTCTTTCAAACGTTTCTGTGTGCAATATAAAAAATAAATTATTACACTTATCAAAAATATCGTTACTATATACTAACACATATCTTACAATAAAACAAAATTAATAAACTGGTTTTCGGAGAGTACGAACACGAGATAATACACATTTCACTAACATCAAACCGATGTCACAAATTCCTTCAACATGTCATACAAATTAGCAAATAAATATGTTAGTTTTCTCATGAAACAAACAGCATCCTTCTGATATAGTATAGGCACGGTATAAAAAGAAAATCATAAATCGTTCATCAAGTTTCGTACCAGAATACAAATGAAAATGCGAGCAATCCGTTCTAATAATTTCTTCAAACTTTTATTAATTTGCAGTACAGGCAAAAACTGGCAACATGGTTAAGCCACAACTAGATGTCACTACGGTTTATATGAAAAATTTAAAAATATCATTTTGCAATACAACAATAGATATATTTGAATATTTTTGCTCATACAATCCAATATTTCCCCACATGTGACACATCTGTTAATGTATAATAAAGCTACCAGGGGGCACCACTAAGAGTCTGATATGATCTTAACATAAAAAGTTTAGTAAAATAGAATAATCTTGTTAGTTCTGTAATCTTATTTCAATCCAGTTTTCACTTTATAAACAAGGTGATGAGAATAAAAATAATACAAAATTTCATTCTGTGATGTGCGTAATCTTCTCTTCGTTAGATCCTACACAAATTTTAGGTTAAACCGATATTAAATATGACTTTAACCACACACATATAAATAATGATGAGAACCGATAATCTGTTTTTTGTTACTCTTGCCAAGGGATTAATGGTATTCCTATTATTTTCAAGATACAACATCGTAACTTGTCTGTGTCAAAAAGAGCACATCCGAGTGGTACTGGAATGCATGCCGATATTTTTATGACCAGTTCTATGTTAAAATTCTTGAATGTTTCAAAAATAGTCATTCTTTAAACTAATTTGATTCAGTGAAGTCTAAATCACAAATTTCTTTTGCCACAAACTTCTGTCACTGACCTCAAGAAGAGCTGGGATAATGGTCTCGATTGTCTGGCTGATCACTTGGAAGCTGTAGGTATCATCCTGACGTACTAAACTTGCTCCCATAAAAGTGAAAATTGCCATGATATTATGCAGAACATGCTCCTGTCAAGAAAAAGGAGATCTTTAGGTTTTTTCATATAACAGCACGCTCATGTACGAGTTATTGTCAGTTTCAACAATCCCTCTTCCAGATACCTGTTAATTTGAACCCTCCCTTGTAGATGAGGTTATCAGATTAAAGTTGGTGTACTGTACAAAAAATTATAATAAACAAAAAATAACTGTTCACAAAGAAGTCACAAAACTGAAATCTCAAAAGTCTACAATAAAAATTCTGAAATAACTTTGATATTTGTTGTGCAATAATATACAGTAATAATGGTCAATAGAAGAACTGCTACCCCCCACAGAGTCAACACAATGTACAATCTGACTTCATAAGTCAAACTGTATAAAAACATTACTTTAACAGTTAGTACTACTACAGAAATTTCATATCTTGTATTAAACCCATTAGACATTAAAACATTACGAACTACTGGAACTAAAAAAAAAACAATTAATATACCCAGGGAATAACTAATAATGGTAGGAAACAAAAAAAACCAGTACAATTCTTTTACCTGAAATTGGATCTTGAAATTAACAATTTTTAAATCAGTTAACATATTTCCGTATAGTTGCAATAACTGAAAAAATTAACATTAAACAGAATATTTCAGGAACAATAATGTTACAAAGAATTTCGAGAGGTAAAAATATCTTACGGAGAAACGGGAAGCGACAAGATTTAAAAGCAACAAAGCCAGGTTTTGTGTTTGTGGATTTTCCGAGACACGAATGACTTGGACAATTAGTTCGACTTGAAAATGTTCTTCTTTCAGTTTCACACTTGTTTCACGAGTGTTGCCATCTTCCGACGATAGCACCTGCTGCACACACGTATAGAGACAAGACAAAATAACTTGCTGAAGGTAGTGTTCATCAGGACCATTTCCTATTTCCAGTGACCTACGAAACATGATTTTAATACATAAAAACTTTCTTCCAGTGATGAGAGAACAGGCTTCCATCTGATTTCTAGAAAATTACACTTTGTTATAAAATGTCACGAGTCCTATCACTACTCTCACAAATCAAACTCTCAAAATTATTGTTTCTAACCAGACAAATACTAAAGTTATTAAAATGATGCACCAGTAGTTTCTGAGGTTCAGCAAAAATTAGAATTCATAACAGACAAAAGAAACTAAACGAATTAAGATATAAAATAAACTTAAAAATAATCTGACCACTTTTTCTTCTTTTTAATGGACAAGCAACCCGAGAATCGTGTAGCCGAGACATAAATGAAAGAAAACGATTACTAAACCCATTTTAAAACAAAGTTATGTTTGAGATTTTCTGACATTAACATCTTCAATATTCACTTATGTTCTACACCAATAAACCATTAAATATGTTTAAAACGTTTCATGGATATATTTGTAACGATGTAACATTTTTCTCATTACAAACTTACTGAAGTAATTCAGATTTCTA